AATGAAAGAATGTTGCATGAAGGACCTTGGGAGTTTGATGGAGGAGCAAATGCAATATGAAATGAAATGGCTATGTGTATTACGAATATGGGAAGAGTGTTGGGAGAAAGCAAAGAAAATGGATTTCATACAAAGGAAACATGGTGGTGGAATGGAGAGGTGCAAGAGGCAATCAAACAGAAGAAGGAATGCTTTAGATCTTTGCATAAAAGTCCCAACGAAAAGAACTTGCAAAAATTTAGATTGGCGAGAAAAATGCAAAGAAAGCAGTGCGGGAAGCTAGAGGCAAGGTTTCCGATGATTTTCATAAAAATCTTGGGAGCAAGGATGGTGAAAAAGGTATATATAAACTTGCAAAAATAAGGGATAAGAAAGGTAAAAACCCCACCCAAGTTAGATGCATCAAGGATGAAAATCAAAAAAAATTGGTAAGAGATAAAGATGTAAATGAAAGATGGATGAACTACTTTAACAAGTTGTTTAATGGGGATGGCGATAAAAGCGAGATGGACTTGGAGGATGCTTATAATGATTTGAATGGAAGATTTGTGCATAGAATTAATACACATGAAGTTAAGGAGACTTTAAAGATGATGAAGAATAATAAAGCCTTGAGACTTGATGGTGTCCCTATTGAACTGTGGAAAGGCCTGCGGGATGTGGCAATAAAATGGTTGGCCAACCTTTTTAATAAGATTCTTTAGACAAATAAGATGCCTGATGCATGGATGAAAAGTATGATTGTGCCGATTTACAAAAATAAGGGAGATATACATAATTGTTCAAACTATAGAGGCATTAAGCTAATAAGCCATACTTTGAAGTTGTGGGAGAAAGTTATTGAACATCGCTTGAGAAGAGACACCAAGGTTTCTATAAATCAATTTGGATTTATGCCAGGAAGATGTACCATGGAAGCCATTTTCTTGATGAGACAATTAATGAAAAGATATCGAGAAAAGAAGGACTTACATATAGTGTTCATAGATCTTGATAAAGCATATGATAGGATTCCAAGGAAAGTTTTATGGTGGGTTCTTGAGAAGAAAAAAGTATCATCAAAGTATGTAATGGCAATCAAGGATATGTATGATGGGGCTACTACATGTGTGAAAGCTTGTAATGGAACATAAAGTTATTTTCCTATCACGGTAGGTGTACACCAAGGTTCGGCTCTAAGTCCTTATCTCTTTGCCTTAGTTATGGATGAACTAACAAAAAATATTCAAGAGGAAGTGTCATGGCGTATGCTTTTTGCAGATGATATTGTGCTTATTGACGAGAACAAAGACAGTGTTAATAGAAAACTTGAATTGTGGAGAAGCACGTTGGAATATAAAGTATTCACGTTAAGTCGGAGCAAGTCTGAGTATTTGAAGTGAGTTTTCTCTGGCAAGAGAGGAAGACTAAGATCCTGTGCATCTACTTGGTCAAGAGGTACCCAAGAAATATGTTTTTAGATACCTACGATCCATTTTGTAAAAAGGAGAAGAGATTCATAAGGATGTAAATCATAGAATCAGAGCAGGGTGGATGAAATTGCGTAGTGCATCTGCATTTTTGTGTGACCGAAAAATCCCCGTTAAATTAAAAGAAAAATTCTATAGAACAGCAGTAACGTCTGCAATGCTATATGGCGCTGAATGTTGGCCAACACATAGACAACATGAGCATAAAATGGGAACAGAGATGAGAATGTTAAAGTGGATGTGTGGTTATACGAGGATGGATAACATAAGAAATGAAGGTATTCAACGAAAAGTAGGAGTACTACCGATGCCTGAAAAGATGAGAGAACATAGATTGAGATGATTTGGGCACATTATGAGAAGACCCCTGGAAGCTCTCGCAAAAACAAAAGTTTGTTACCAAAAGCTTAACAAAAAAAAAAAGAGGTAAATCGAAACTTACTTGGGGGAAGGTAGTAAAGCAAGACTTAATGGAATGGAACATAGATTGGCAGAGTAGACCCGTTGTTATTCCTATGTTCCAGATGGTCCCTTTTTAGGCATTTTACCTCTTCATCTCCCCCTCTTCTTCTTTTCCCTTTCTTTTATCACTTATATATATATATATATATTATTACTATTTTATTTATTTATTTTTATTTTTTATCTTTTTTGAACCCTTTCATATTTTTTATTTGGGTTCATCTACCATTGACCCTAATTAATTTGGTATAAAAGTGTTAATGTTGATTCTCGTCTTCAAAAGGGTTATCGTTGTTCTCCTGATCTTAAACGTTATACTGTTTCCGCTGATATCACTTTTTTTTATCAACAACCCTTTCATTCTATCTCATCTCAGTTTTCACAGGTTCTTCTTGTTCCTTGTCTTGACTTGTATTTACTAGTTGCAGGTGACTCAATCACAGAGGAGCGACCTCTTTCTTCTATCCCTAAGGACCACCCTTTTCTCACCTATTAATGTCGTTAGATTGTGCCTCCTGAGGACTTGACCCTGGCTGACTCATCGCATTCTCCTGTCGACTCTTCCCCTCCGGATCTGTAAAGAACCAATTCAACCCAAAAGTTTAAGCTGTTAGGTGAGAGCCTCTTTAATAGTTTATATTATACTCTAACACGCCCCCTCGGAAGAGAGCCCAATTGGGCTTGAAAGGTGGATGATGCATCAGACCCAGCTTACTTGTGCTAAGAAAATTCACAAAGAAAATAGGAGGTGGCGAGGATCGAACCCGGGACACAAAGGCTCTGATACTATGTAAAGAACCAATTCAACACAAAAGCTTAAGCTGTTAGGTGAGAGCCTCTTTAATGGTTTACATTATACTCTAACAGGATCCTTCACCTATGCTCTTCCCATTGCCCAAAGAAAAGGTATACGTACTACTCGTAACCTTTATCCTCTTTATACCTTTTTGAGCTATGACCGTCTTTCTATTCCTCATTTCACCTTTGTTTCTAGTCTTTCTTCTGTTCCTATTACTCAGACCAGAGGTGAAGCACTTTCCCATCCAAGGTGGCGCCAAGCGATGCTTGATGAGATGGATCTTGGGATCTTGTTTCGGTTGTCAGTGGATCTTAACTGTCAAGGTTGGACGGATGGCCATGTTAACCATCTCAAGGTGTGCTTAGTCGCCAAGAGCTTTACTTAGATTATTGACCTTGACTATAGTGACACGTTCTCTCCTGTCGCTAAGATGGCATCTGTCCGCATATTTCTTGCCCTCGCTGTTGTTCGTCACTGGCCACTCCTTCAACTGGACATTAAAAATGCTTTTCTTCATGGTGATTTACAAGAAGAGATTTACATGGAGCAACCACCTGGCTTTGTTGTTCAGGGGGAGTCTGGAATGGTGTATAGACTTCGTAAGTCCTTATATGGCCTCAAGCAGTCTCCTCGAGCGTGGTTCAAGTAGTTTCAATTCTGTCGTTCAGGCTTTTGGTTTAATCCGTAGTGAGGTTGATCATTCGGTGTTTTATAGGTGCACATCTCCTGATAAGTGCATCTATCTGTTAGTCTATGTCGATGACATCATTCTCAGTGAAGTGATCAAGCTAGGATTGACCAATTAAAACAATATTTGTTCGGTCAATTTCAAACAAAGGATCTTCATTACTTATTAGGGATTGAGGTGACACAGTCTAAACAGGGCATTTCCATTTGTCAGAGGAAATATGCCTTAGCTATCTTAAAGGAGACTGGTATATTAAGGTGTAAGCCAGTAGATACACCCATGGATCCTAATAATCAAATTATTACCCGGACAGGGGGAGCCATTATCTGATCCTGGACGTTCGGAGGTTGATTAGAAAGCTCAATTAACTCACGGTGACTAGACCAGACATCTTTTTTGTTGTTAGTGTGGCTAGTCAGTTTCTTGACTCCCCTTGTGATTCTCATTGGGACGTTGCTGTGAGGATCCTCTGGTACATAAAAAGAGCACTAGGGAAAAGGCTTATTATATTCAGATAAGGGACATACAGAAATTTGTGATTACTCAGATGTCGATTGGGCAGGATCACCTTCGGATAGACGATCTACTTCAAGTTATTGTATCATCATTGTAGGAAACCTGATTTCTTGGAAGAGTAAGGAACAAACTGTTGTCGCCCGATCCAGTGCAGAGGCCAAGTATCGTCCAATGAGAGCTGCCATTTGCGAACTAATCTGGCTAAAGCAGTTGATTCAGGAACTTCATCTTTGTGAACAGAAACAGCCCATGACACTCATTTGTGACAATCAAGTTGCGCTTCATATATCACCTAATCATGTATTTCATGAGTGAACCAAGCACATAGAGATCGATTGTCACTTCTTTCGAGAAAAGATTTAGTCAGGAGAAATCAAAACGGCATTTGTTAACTACAAAGATCTACTCGCAGATGTCTTCACTAATACGCTTAGAGGTCCTCGGGTTGAATACATTTGTAACAAGCAGAGTGTTCACAATATATACACACCAGTGTTCACAATATATACACACCAGCTTGAGGGGGAGTGTTAGAATAGTATGCTAAAGTAGTATAGTGTATATAATATAATAGTCTCACATCTTGTATATGATAAATTAGTTTTTGTACTTGTATATATATATATATATATATATATATATATATATATATATATATATATTCCCTGTGTGCTCGTATTAGACACACAATTATCCAATCTTAAGTGAACTAAACTAAAAACGAGAAAGCAAAATCAGGCTTCAATCAAATATTCAAAAAGTTTTGATCCCTAATGTTCATTAAAATAATTTGCAAGATTAAACAGCACAAAATTAAAAAACAGGATGCCTCAAATAGCAGCAGAGTAAATCTGGACAGAGTCAGAACAGAAAAGACAAAAATCTTTAATAATGAATTAGAATCAATCAAATGAACACAAATATAGTGTTAAAATTTTACAAGTAAATATTCAAGCATAGTGCATAAAATATAACATGTAAAGAAACATATTCCAATGGACAGATCATGCTGTGCCTTTCTAATATTTTCAGATGCATCAAATCTTATCCCTGAATGTTCACATACCTTATTGTGAAATCCACTGTCAGAAATATTAATCAACTGCAGAACACATGCTGAAATCTCCGCATCAAGTATCTCATGTGATTCTCCACTACAATACAGAAAAAAAAAGACAACTCAACAATTGCGGTCAAAAAGTTCTCAGTTTCCATTACAGGGGTGTAAATGGGTCAGACAGCCAATCAAGACCCACGTTGAGCTAGGCCTGACCTAGTATATTTAGTAAAACAAACAAAGATGGACCTAAAAAAGCTTGTTTAGAAAACAAGCCGTAGGCTTACTTTTACAAAGCTTGACCTATAAACCTACAGACCAGTCTCTATCATATTATTTATTTTAATTAAAATAAAATAAAATGATTCTTTATATAATTTTAATTAATAACAGTAAAAAACTGAAGAAAAGAAGAAGTGGAAGAAGTGTTTTATCTGAATAATACTTTCTTGATTCATTGAGAGACCCAATGGGTCCTTTTTATATTGAGTACATCCAACTACCTCAACTACTTTAATAAATATGCAACCTCCAACTACATCAATAAATATACAACTACCAACTACATCAATAAATACTATCTAGAATATTCTACATATTCTATAAAAACTAATTCAACCCAAAAGCTTAAGTTGTGTAGGTGAAATTACATTAATGATTTTTATATATCTCTAACATGCCCCCTTACATGAGAGTTCACTAGGCTTAAAGAGTGGACAATGCACAGACCCACCTACCTGTGCTAACAAATTCCACAAAGAAAATGGGAGGCAGCAAGGATTGAACTCGAGACACCGAAACTTTGATACCATGTAAAGAACCAATTCAACCCAAAAAGCTTAAGATGGTCCAAAACTTTGATACCATGTAAAGAACCAATTCAACCCAAAAAGCTTAAGATGGTGGGTGAGGTTACATTAATGGTTTTTATATATCTCTAACAATAACAAAATTATTTTATGTATTTTTTTTTTCTAATTTTATAGTTATTGAAGGTATAATAAGCTTAAATAGGCTAATAGGCCTAGGCCAGGCCTTTTGATTTTTAAATATAGGACAGACCAAACCTATAATGTAGTTTACACCAAGCTAACAAACCAAACCAAGCATATAATGTAGCCTACACTAGGCTAATAGGCCAAACCAAACTCAACATTTTGTGTAGGCCAAGCTAACAAACCAAACCAAGCATATAATGTAGCCTACACTAGGCTAATAGGCCAAACCAAACTCAACATTTTGTGTAGGCCAGGCCTATTTAGACCAAAGCACAACCCATTTACACCCCTTCCAGCAATGGTTTAAGCAATTACCTAAAACCAGAAATCTGCTTTGTCTTGAGAATTGCAGCAACTATGTGTGTGAACCAAGCAAGTTTGCATTCTGTTACAGAGAGTTCATAACCATCCACAGGAATTTGGAGATTTGCTTCCTTCTACAGACATAATTAATACATATTACAGTGTCAGAACATTTTAAGAGAATTGTACAAAATTTCAGCACTTCATGAAGAACTACTCAATAATACCATATAGCTTTGGATGATAGGCTCCACTATCTTCATTAAATATGAACTGCAACTTTCATACTGAAATTTAATAAAGCAAATAAGATGTTGAAGTGAAGATAATTATTTAAAGAATTGACTCCATCATATTCAACGAAAAACATTTTTCCAAACACAATACAACATGAAACATTTTATACAATAGGAGAAGCATAAAAAAGCATGAACCTGAAATCTACAGAGGTAAGGAAAAAATTCAAGCTGTTCTTGAAGTACTTCAACATTGTCCAGTGGGTTTTCACCAAGTTCATCTGATAGTTCACACTGCAGTAAATGGATGATTAAAGGTTAGAATGAGAATAAATACTTGACTCACTTGGGTTATCCATTTCTGTAAAGAGTATTAAAGCACCTGACCTGCAATGAATCAAATCTTGATGATACAAAACCTTCTATAACTTTAGGCACATATTCATCTAGGAGGATAGGTTTGTCACTCTTTAGATACCGAACAGACGTCACTGATCTAGACCACAAATTTAGAAGGTAGTAAACACTGCTGCCAGCCCACTGAAAGAAGAAACATAGATGTATTAAAAGAAGTTGCTCTTTATGTTTAATACTCAGCCATTTTTTTTTTTTTTAATACAGAAGGCTTAATGAGACAAAGAAAACAGAACATAAGGATAAAGAATCCTCCAAAACTGAGAAAAGCATGACGAATAGAAAACAAAAATGAAATATATATATATCAGTTTAGATGACTCTCCAGTCACTCAGAATATCTGACATACAGATCCTTTAAATCACTAAAATGTCCAGTTCCTTTAGGGAACATCTTAAAATAGTCTAGAAACATACCTTCCAAGAATGCAAAGATTTTAATGTAAACTCTGCTACCAAGCGTATCCAATCACTATAGCCTTCAGCATTCACAAGTTCTGATAACTGCAGCAGAAAACAAAGTAGCAGGATAATAAGAGATTGACTTCATTAACCAAGATAACAAACACTAGCATGAGTGGATGGCCAAGAGGTTACGGTTAAGCTGTTTTAGCATATTAAAGTGAACTAAATCAAGCAAGACTATTAGAGAATATGGAATATATATATTGTCTCTTGTGCAAATACATTGCGACTGTGCTGAGTTAGCACTATCACAATCATGTTGGAGAGTTGCAACAGTCCGTAACTGTTGTAACAGCTACCAGTTTCAGTTATCACTTAGTTACATAACTAATGGAGTCAGCACAACTAAAAAAGGAAGTGCCCGCATAAAAGCAAGACCAAAAGCTATTATTTGGATGTTATCCTCACTTTCATAGTCTTTGTAAGCCAGAGTTGTCGAACCCACTCATTCACAGCAGATCTGGGAGGAAATACACAACTATTTCCACTCTCATCACTGAGCCAAGTCTCACCAACTTCGTTTTGAGATCAAAAACACAGAAACAGGGATGCATCATTTCTGAGTATCCATTCAGAATCAAGGCACTCAGTGTCCATCGGAAAACTAGTTACATCCAGAGACCATGTTGATTAAATCCTCGAAAGTCTTCGCAAGGAGTATGATGCCTTTGTAACTTCAATCACCCGCAGATCAGAGCCATGCACTGTTAGCAAAATTGAATTGAAACTCTACTTACTCAGGAGGCACGCATTGAGAAGCATCGTCAATCTACACTCGCAGATGTATTATCTGCAAATATTACACAAGTTTCTTAAAAATAGTTTCATTGAATTCAGTCCAGAGCCCACATTAGTGGTTTGTCACCTAACAATCCAGAAGTGAATTCCTCAACTCCTCCCTTCCCGGACCCAAACTACGATGCTTGTTGTAAAAAGAGTAGTATAGAGTAGTTTAACGTGAGGGACGAAGTCCTACATCATGTATATGTCTTTGTAATTACTTTTTAATCAGTTATATAATGGAGCCTCCGTTGTGTAGTTGAAACACACGGATTTCAGTATATGCCTCTCGCGTCCTAATACTTAACATGGTATCTGGAATCTAAGAGAGGAACCCTAATTCGTGTCTTTTCGATGGGTCCACTGTCTACTGAGAAAAAAAAAAATTCCAAAAATTGTCACCCCATCAACTTTCAACCACAATCCTTCTTCGGCAGCCATTCAAAAGCCTTTGACCGGCGTTGACCATAGTTGATCTGTGACTTTTTTGGCTTTTCAGCAAATTTTTCTGTGCATGTTTGTCTCTCCAGCATGCCTAATGACCAAATCTAGTCCTTTTGCCCCACCAGGGGTTGCCTTGACACTTGTGGCTTCCAACACAACTGCTTCAGCTATGCACAAAGGTAATAATTTTACTAGAGAAACTCCATCTCTTGACTGTCTCAGTCGTGCTTGCTCTGTCCAGGATTCTTCGCTCATTATCCAAGCCCAACTTGGTCATCCCGGATTTGGTAAGCTACAAAAGATGGTGCCTCATCTATCAAATTTGTCTACTTTGCAGTGAGTCATGTCCTTTAGGGAAACATATGTATAGTTTCTTCACTGAAAATGTCAATTGTCAGGCTTTATCTCCCTTTAGTTTGGTTCATTTTGATGTTTGGGGCCCAACTCGTAATGAGTTCACCATGGAGTTTAGATACTTTGTTGCATTTATTGATGATTATTCTCAGCACACTTTTTTCATTTAATGAAAAATCAGTCCAAGTTATTTTCTATATTTCAATAGTTTTATTATGAAATTCACGTTCAATCATAGTTATCAAATGCGGATTGCGGCATGTCGCGGCCAACCCCCAAAAACGCTATAGCGTTATAGCGGGTTACGGTTGCGGAATAAATATATGACAAAAATATTAACAAAAAGAAACATTTTTTAAAGGCAGAGATTACAGAAGTGACAGAGAGAGACACAGATAAACTAAAAAACCCTTAAATTTTGTCTGTTACACATTTAAATTTAGGACAAAATTGACATTTTGCCTTATGATAGCAATATGACCGCAAATGCGATCGTAATGGCCGCTATTGCGTTCCGGTGCAGCGCGGTTTCTTGCGATGAGTCACCGCAACGCCCATACGGCACGGCTCGCGGCGCTATTGCGGTGCAATTAACTACTATGCACTCAATATGATGTTCCTAGTAGCATTTTTTGTAGTGATAATGTACGTGAATATTTGTCTAACCAACTTCAAAATTTTATGGCCTTTCACAGCATTCTTCACCAAACGTCTTGTACTCATACACCCCAACAAAATAGGGTCGCTAAACAAAAAACCAACATCTCGTTGAAACAACTCGAACATTGTTACTCCATAGGCATGACCCTTACTGATTTTGGGGTGACAATTGCCCTCACTACATGTTGTCTCATCAATCAGATGCCATCCTCTGTCACTGATAACCAAGTATCTAATTCTGTGTTATTTCCCCATCAACCTTTGCATTCCTTGGCCCTCCGTGTATTTGGTTCTACTTGTTTTATCCACAAACTTAGTATTGACCTTGATAAATTGGTTGCTTAGTCCTGCAAGTATGCCTTTCTTAGTTACACTTAGTCCCAGAAAGGTTGCAAGTGTTACTCTCCCACTCTTCGCCGTAAACTAATCTTAGCTGATGTTACCTTTTTTGTGTCAGATCTTTATTTTCGGTCCTCTTCATTTACCCCCAAGTCAATCTCAACTATCTTACCGCTTCCTCCGATCTCGGTTAAGTTCACACCACCACCGACACCACCACAACCACAGTTTCCTCTAGCCCAGGATGACCTAGTTTCTATTTGCCCCTTACAGGTCCATCACCGTCAACCACCTCCACCACTTGAGATTTCACTTGCTCTTACTGCTGCTGAGGTTCCTGCAGACTCTGCTCCGGCACCTTCTCCCCCTCCCCCCAAGCCCTAGCCCGGCCTTTCCTCCCGACAATGCCAAACTCATTGCTCTTTGCAAAGGTATTCATACTACTCATAATCCCTCATTCTATTAGGTGATTTTGAGTTATTATTGGCTTTCAACTTTGCATTTTGCTTGTCTTTACTTGGGATATGGTTCCCTTTCCTTTTAGGAAGTTTGTTGTTGGTTACGGATGGATATACACTGCCAAAGCTAGTCTTGCTAGTCTTGATGGTCATGTGGACCATCTCAAGGCTCAGTATGCTCCACACGTCACTTTCATATTGATGCTTGCCCCCGATTTACTTGGTTTTATCCCTGAAACTAAAGTAAGAAATACTCACAAATTTTTACCAATTTTGTGCACGTTTGAAATACAATTGTCCACCAAACTAAATGTGTACAAAGAGAGACGGGAAAAGAATATTGCCATTTTCTTCATTGTCCTCTCTAACCATATGAACACTTATAGAGTCACCTGTCACCACATACACCACCAGAACAGGATTGTTGAACGCAAACATAGGCACAAAGTTGAGATGGGCTTAACTCTCATGGCTCATGCCTCCCTACCTCTAGAATTTTGGGATTCCTCCTTGTTTGTATTATAAATTATCTTCCCACTATAGCCTTAAACAATAACATTTCCTATATCAAGCTTTATGCAAATCTTCTTAATCACAAGTGCTTGAGAACCTATGATTGTGCATGTCACCCCTTCCTTTGTCCATACAACCAACACAAGTTAGAGTTTAGGTAAAAGAAGTCAAAGGAGTGTGTCCTTCGTGGGTACTCAACTCACCACAAACTATTGAAAGATGTAAAACAAAGAGTTTTTTGAATTAATACATTTGATTTACACAGATAGGGGTATTTATACAAGAGTAAATGAGAGAGAAAAAATGGATAAGAATAACTCATCAATGAGTCGTCAGCCCTATCCTATAAAAGCAATTTCAAAATTCAAATTCCTATTAAAAGAAAAAATCAATCACTAATAAAAGTGGAAAGATCCTAATCCTGATTTTCTACACTCCCCATCAAGTTGGAAGGTAATGTTGATCATTCCCAACTTGCCAATTAGATCTTCAAAGGTTGGTCGGTGTAGGCCCTTAGTGAGGATATCTACAGTCTGCTCGTTGGTAGGAATATACATCATACACACACTTCTATCATCTAAAAATGGCGATCAACCTTCACGTTTTGTTCTGTCATGATAAACTGGATTTTGCACAATACTGACAGCAGCCTTATTATCACAATACACTGTGACAGGTAGGGAAAAAGAGATCTTCAATTCCTCAAGGAGTCTTCTTAACCAAATTCTTTCACAAATACCATGGGCTAAAGCCCGAAATTTTCGAAATGGTTCTTGACCCATAAAAGGTAACATCTTCTAAGATTAGTTCTTTTGGGTGAAATGTTTTCTTCTCTAATCTTATCTCACCCAACAGCTTAAGCTTTTGGGTTGAATTAGTTTTTTACACTTTTTATTTGCTACGTTGACACACATGATACACAACTACATACTAAGCCATTGTCTCGTAATTCCTAAGAAGAAAACAGACTATGTCATCCTTTTATAAGTGTGAAAAATGCCTACTCACCCTCCAATTATGGAGCAAGATAATCCTATAGCAGCTTGGGAATAGAGGCAAATGTTGTCATAAGACAAGTAGAAACTTATAAAACAAAGGTCCATTCTCTAACGTGTAATCAGGCTAGGAGTTTGCATCCTTTTCAAAATCATTGATTATCTTCATAAGGGTAGGACTCTTTGGGGCTTCCTCGCCATCTATGTTCTCATATTAGCGTTCCTAATTACTCAACTTGTTGTTTGGGTATATCCGGAAATATACTTTACAAACCGTAGGTTCTCTTTCACTCCAACTGCCAATCGTATCAAAGCTCAAAATTCTTGCCCTCACTCCCATTGTAGTTGATAATTCTTGAACTAGATAATCTAATTTCTCAACTCTAACCCTAAGCAAATAGTAAAGGGGTGATCCCAGAAAACAAAAATTGTCTAAAGTTCAATGAAATATGAATACATGTTACGAAAGATGCACAAAGAACCTGAGAGACTATATGACTCACCTGATAATTTACTTTAAAGCGGCCGAGAAGACGACAAAATGCATGATAGTTATCATGATCAGAAAGACCTGCATTGCAAAGAAACTATAGCATCAGCAACCGTCTACATTTATATACATTGAGTGCAAAATTTAGTAGTGATCCAAATCTATAGATATAGGGAATGACTGCGAAATTTCGCAGAGATAAAACTATTTTTTGGATTGCGATGCTTAAAGAAATAATACTAATGACATGATGCAAGCTCATCGGCTACATGTGGCTCATTCCCCTAATATTTGCTTAATGTATGGTTCCAGTTCAGAATCAATTCCACATATGTTCTCACATTGATCTTCAGTTTCTTTTATGAAAATCCTTATTTCAAATTTTTTGTGCATGTTAGGTATATCCCAAGTCCTTAAACTATTTTTTCCTGATTAACTTTAATAGTTTAAGTAGATATAAAGTGGGAAATTTTTGTGAAATGTGTATCTCTTTCGTATATTTGATGGAACACTTGATCTAGGATAAGTTTAGGTAAATAAATTCTGCTAGATGTATACCACATCGCAATTTTAATCAGGTTTCCCTAACAAATATGTAGAGTGACCGGGCAATGGTTAAATTATTTTCCAATTTTTCTTTGTTGTTTTCTGTTTTGTTCTTTTACTAATAAGGATTTCTTACCCTGTATTATTGTTAAAGTATATATTAAGACTATCTAATTGCAAACATAATTGAAGTCTACAACATAACTGCATATATTTAACTGCAAACCTAGTTTGAATGTGGTAGCTGCATTTCCCATTCCTTCAAGTTGTTTATACCTCTTCCTAGTGTATACCCTTACTATAGGAGGTCACCCATCAATACTTCCCCCAAAAACATTCACCTTATCAAGGTGAAAATCTAATGGAATTGTTGTTGGATGGAAGAAAATAACTCCCAAGTGCTTTTAAAAGGAAGGGATTCGCATTTGATCAAGACTTCAATCTGGCAAGCACCATTCATACAGGTTTCAAGGACTTCTTTAAGTTTAACAAGTAGTTCAAATTCTACACAAAGGATTGGGGGCAGCGGCTGAGGTATTGCAGTGCCAATAATTGCTTGTTTGAAAAGAGATAAATGAAACCAGATGTATCTTGCGATATTCGATAACTCCAACTTATAAGTGGCCTTCCCAATACATTGTAGTACCTTAAAAGGACAGTAGAATAGGGGACTCAATTTCTCTTCCTTTTTTAGCTAGTGACTCATAGGGTTTCAATTTAAGATAAACCACCTTATCCAGATTAAAAGTGACTTCTGTTTGGCTCATATAAGCAATAGGTCGATCTTCTTGCATCAATATCGCTCCAATCCCCATTCTCAAAGCATCAGTGATTACCTTAATTGTTTTAGAAAAAATCGGTAGCGAGAGCTAGAATCAGAATTGCGCTCATTGCCTTCTTATGAGTATCAAAAGCTAATTGTGCTTCATAGCACAATTAAAAATCATCCTTCTTGAGTAGAAAAGTAAATGGTCAAATGAATTTTCTAGTCTTTTACAAACCTTCTATAATAATCCGTCAGCCCAAAAAATCCTCAAAGTCCTTTGACAACTTTAGGAATTGGCCAATTCATCATTGCAACTAGGGATATGCAAAATAACCAAAAAACTCAACCGAACCATTAACTGAACCGAACTGCACTTAAAATAACCGGTATTTAAAAACCAGTTCATCTGTTCATGAACCGAACTAATTTTTAAAACCAGTTCAAGAATTGAACCGATACGAACCATTTTCCAATCGAACCGAACCGTTTTCAAACCGAACCGCTTTTCATTACTTTATTTCTTTATTTTTTTAATTTTTTTTTCAAAAAAAATTAGACCCAAACCGGTTCCCAACCGAACCGTTTCCAACCGAACCGGTTTTAAACTAAACCAAACCGTTTTCGAACCGAACCGTTTAAACCAATTCGGTTCGATTTTTCAAAAAATTTGTTCGATTCGACCCATGCACACCCCTAATTGCAACCACCTTCTTAAGATCAGCTTGAACCATTTCCTTGCAGATAACATGCCCAAGATATTCTACTTGATTTTGACCAAAACAGCACTTCTTTCAATTGGCAACAAGCCAGTGTGCTCTCATGATTAGAAAGACCTCCCTCAGATGGTGAAGATAATTTGGCAAACTTCTGCTGTAAATTAGTATATCAGTAAAGAATACCAAAGCGAATTTTATGAGAAATGGCTTCAATATGTCATTCAGAATAGCCTGAAAGGTTGAAGGTGCATTGGTTCATCCAAAAGACATAACTAAGTATTCATAGTACCCATAATGAATCCAAAAGTGCTATCCTTGGGATATCACTCTCCTTTCATTTGGTGATAACCCATTTTAAATCCAGTTTAGAAAATGTGGTAACTACCAGATTCATCCAAAAGCTCCTCAATAGCTAGAATACGAAATTTGTACAAAATAATCAACTTATTTAGAATTCTATAATCCATGTATAGTATCCATCCTCCATCCTTCTTCTTGACAAATATAATAGGGCTATAATAAGGGTTGATACTTGGTCGAATTACCCCAGAAGATGGCATCTCATTTATTAATTTCTGAATTTCATTTTTTTGATATTAAGGATACATATATGGCCAAATGTTTGTCACATCTCCTCTGTCTTGTGATTGCATGATCTTGTTTCCTAGCAGGAGGTAACCACTATGGAGTACGAAATAAATCTCTTGGAAAGGCTCCTCAAGTTCATTCCATTTTGCTTCCTGCTCAATTGCTATATTTGTTTTTGATATTTGCTCAACATAAAATCCATTGCCATCATTCTGCAATGCTTACTTAATAGCTTTGAAATATGCCAAAATACAAAACAACGAAGATTCCCCCTTTAGGATAACCTCTAGACCTTTTTATCAAATTTTATAGTTAGCTCCTTGAAATTTGCCTTAATCTCTCCAGGGATTCTCAACCATTCAAGACCTAAAACCACATATGCTCCCCCCAAGTCAAATAGAAACAGATTTTGTTTCATGTGCAGTCCTTGTAGCAAAACTAGGACTTGCCGACATACTCATTGGCATTGAATTCGATGGTGATCCACAATCTCAACATAGTACCTCAGAGTTTCTGCCATAACAAGCATAAGCTTTATAGCAATATTAGTCCCAATGAAATTATTGGAGGCTCAACAATCAACGAGTACTATCAATGCTTCCCTTTTTATATGCCCCCAAAATTTAAGAGCATGGGTCGAAGTATGACTCAGGGAAAATTAGGATTTCATAGGTTTGTTAAACCCACTTGCAGATGGAAAAGATCTACAAGATAGTCAAAGAAAAATCTTAACAAGCTTCAATTCAAAGGATAATTGAATCCAAGAAAATTCAAAATTCAGACTCAACCAACACAGACGCACAACAGCCAAATCATTCTAATAATCCATCAAAGGCAAGGTAAAGGAATTCAAGTGCAACAAAGCACAGAGTGCGCAATCTAACTTACTACAGGCTAAAGGAACAAAAGGGGCTCTATTTCAAGTGCGGGCAGCATTATATCCCAACCTACCAACATCATGACAAACTCAAGCTTCTTGTTTGGGAGGATGAAAATCTAGGGAGTTCTTTTGGGAATTTTCTTGCAGTGGAAGTATCTAAGGAGTTGGAAACCAAGGAACTGGTACTCCATAGGGTAGACTATAATTGTTTGTCATCCAAGGATGCTTCTCAGTCCAGCATAATGAAGTTGGAAGGGAGCGTAAGAGGATTTTCGATACTCATTCTCATAGATAGTGGGGCTAGCCACAATTTCATCACTACTAAGTTTGTGACATACCTGAACCTACCGGTGGAGAAAACCAAGAGTTATATGTCAACCTTAATGATAGGAGCAAGCATCGATCTCAAGGGCTACGTGTTGGAATAGACCTTCGAATTGGGTAGCACCAACTTTTAGGTGGTAACGATTTAACTTGTAAATAGAATGGTTGGAGACCCCTGGAAAGGTGAGGGGAGATTGGAAAAAGAAAACCATGCAATATGTAGACCAGGGACGAGAGACTGTCATTAAAGGTTATTAGGTGCATAAAACAAGTCCAAGTATAGAGCAACAAAGTTTATTACAAGGGATGGATGAGTCAGGTGAAGAAAGTCCAAAGGAGAGTCCAAGTTCTCTCTAACCTTCAGCTGAATCCGCATGGTAAAATTCGGAACAAATAGAGCAGTTAGAGACCTTTTTACAGCAATACTAGCAAACCAAGAGACCTTCCACCCCCACCCCCACCCCAATAAAGGCAAAGATCATGCAATCACACTTCAGTCTTCAGCCAAGTTCAGGCCCAGTTTGTGTAAGCCCATACCGCGATGCTCATCATCACAAGGATGAGATAGAAAGACAAGTTAACGAGATGTTGCAAGGGATCACTAAGCATTGTAATAGCCTTTTCTCAAGTCCAATGCTTTTTTTAAGATCAAGCTCAATGATTTCGGTTAAAATGGAGGATGGAACTTGCGAATGTGCATGGACTATCGAGCTTCAAACAAAGAAACAATGTCGAACAAATACCTCACCCCACCATAAGCGAATTGTTGGATGAGTTACATATAGCTAGCTATTTCTCTAACAAGGGTCAAGGGAGGGAGGACACTCATAAACCTATTTTTCACACACATAATGGCATTAAAAGTATTTAGTCGTACCATTTGGCCTCGTGAACGCCTCTTCCACAATTCAATCTACCATAAAAAACCATTTTGACCTTGGCTCAATCGTAATATCTTGGTGTTTTATAGGCCCACGTGGATACAACATCTAGATCACTTGGTATCGGTTGTATTTGTTACAAGAAAACATATATTTGCCAACAAAAAGAAATGCACTTTCGGTCACCATTCTGCTGATTATCTAGGCCATGTGATCTCCTATGCGAGAGTGGCCATGGATCCTTCCAAGATCCAAGCAGTCCGTGATTGGTCAACTCCAGGGTATGTCACTGGAGGGACGGGGAGAGTTCCTACGCAAAACCGGTTACTACTTCAGGCAATTTATCAAAGACAACAAGAAGATAGTCCAACTACTTTCTGAATTAACTAAGACGAAAGGTTTTTGGTGGAGTGAAGAAGCTTAAAAAGGCCTTTGATGATCTGAAGCGGCTTACTTATTTCTAATGTTTGCCATACCCAATTTTACTAAAGAGTTTGTCATAGAGTGTGATGCCTTTGGTTAACGCCTGGGTACAGTTTTAATGCAAGACAAAAACCAATAGCATATTTTAGTAAGACTTGCTCCAAACCATGTGACTAGTTTAAGAGAAGGAAATAATAGTATTAGTATTGGCAGTTCAACATTGGAGGAACTACCTTCTAGAAAGGCCAGCCAAGGTTTATACGGACCAGAGAAGCCGAGAGCACCTGCAGCACCAACACATCACCATAACCAATCAACACTATTGGTCGTCCAAGCTAATGATGCACCAATTTGAATTCATAAATAAGCATGGACAAAAGAACAAGGCAGCATAGGCTTTATCAAGAATGGGAGAAGCCAAGGAATCATTTAAAATCACTTCCAGCCCTTACTAGTTGGATTTAGAGAAGGTAAAACGAAAGTATGAATATGATCCTACCTTGGTACAACTACTCGAATCCTTAATGAGGGTGTCTCCTCACCATGCTTAGTGCTTCAATGGTGAACACAAGAATGAATGGCAAATTAGGAAAACAATAGGTTGAGCTGGAAAAAGTCTCTCGAGGCGATGCCCATGATTGACACAAGACATAAAAATCTTATTTTGATGGATTCATGAGCTTGCATGTTCCACAGCGGTTAGGGCTCACTTGACCACAACAACTGTAACTCATCAGGTCAATTTTTGCAATTGCCAATCCGGGTTGAACCTAACTCAATTTTCATCTTCATTCCACAATGAATCCAGCTTGCAGGCTTTTCAGATCAGAGAGAATATTATGCAAATAGTTTTCAATTGCAAGTTTAGTTTCAGAGATTGAAATCTAGTGAGTTCCTTACGGTAAGTATGAATCATTTCATAGAGCGAAAAGGAGTGTTCATTACTGTGTACGGTTCGTTTGGGGATGGGCACGCCATTTGTTCCCTCACCCAATATGAGGCAGGTCTATCAATCCTACCCTGAACGCATTCCCAGTATCACATATACAAATAATAAGGCAAGATATGTTGTTGAGAGGATGGACGCTACACTTGAGGGATAAAGTTCTAAATCCTTCTAATCACTGTAGAAGGCAACTTATTGACCAAGTTGTATCTATTGCGCTGCTTGAAAAAACAAGCAGGAACATGCTCCTGCAGTGATAAAGGCTTAGATGACAACTACTATGCCTCGTGATTGATTGAGCTTCTTGAGAAGATTGTCCTTCAAAATTCTACAGTCAATGACGACTTCAATTTGCAGAACCTTCTTATTTTGAAGGAAATGATTTCAATTAGAAAAACCACCTTATTTTGAAGGCAATAACGGTTGATTCGTCCAGAAGTTATACAAGGAGGCAAGTGCAATTCTCAAAGAAGTTTAATGTATTGCTGGTTAATATTCACAGCAATAGATCTATTGAGCTTGCTACCAGAGTTGAAAAGGAAGCAGAATTTTATAGCAATTGTACTCCCTTTGTCTTGAGGGAGAAAAACAAAATAGTTGATAAACTCAAGCCCGTAGGAATCAGTGGTCCAGTTGTGGAGTAGCATATGGAAGCACAGTAGAAAGAAGGTATACTAGCTGAGGTTAGACAATTCGGTGGGCAAATACAATGCTAATACACCTTGAAAAATTTCCTTCAACAAACAAATCGGGTGTGCTTGGGCGCTGGGTAAAAATTAGGGTATATGATATGAAGACATATATAGAAACTTATTCTGTTTTGCAAAATGATGGAACTAGTGCGAAAGGGCAATATGGAATCCTAGCAGTGTACAATAGAAAAAGGTAGGGGGATCATTAGCACTTACTAAGTCAGCACATAGGCAGTTAGAAGAGAATATTTGTTAGGTTGTTGAGTGGCAGTCCGTTAAAGCCAAGGAGCAAGCTCCAGCAAGGGATAAATAGAGGCTAGCTAGGATCGTTAGGCACTTTGGACCGGATCATTGAATTATTGTTATATAATTGTTATAGTCAGTCAATATAATAGAACATCTGTTATTCTATTTATGAGACACGGATTTCAACATATATCTCTTGTTTCCTTGTTATTCAACACTATCTTTCAAGATCTTAATAGCAAAGACAAAACACCAATGCCTGGAGACAAAATTAGACAATGCTCCAAGAACATTAATTTAGACTGCTAGACACACACTAAGATTAAAGAAAAAATAAGTATAATCCAGTTTACCTATTCCAGTTTGCAAAACTTCTTTTGTGCCCTGCATTAAGTGAGACAAAAACTTCAATCGAGCAGAATCATTGGAAAACAAAGATCGTCTAGTAGAAGCAAGACGCAACAAGCACTCCAATGCCTACAAAAGATAATGATAAATAAAGTGAAAAAGCAATAATAAATAGAGGTGAGACAACCTAATAGATCACCATATAGAAGTTGGGAAACAGACAAAATGCATCAATAAAAATTCTTTTCATACTGAGATAAAATGGATTACCATCATGATCAGAACTCCGAAATCAAAAGATCCAGCGCAAATAAACTTTACATTTTACAGATGCTCACATTCATTTATATTTATGTTCAAAAAGTAATTGGGTAAGAAATAAAATAAAAGGACAAAACTCAAATATTATATTCAATGATCAAATAATATCATACTCACAGGTTCAGTAAGCTGAGTAAGGAACAACGTATACCAGCAAGTCAACAAGATTCTTAACATTAAACAAGACCCCAGACATATAACAGTTATATACGTAGAGAATAACAAACCATGAAATAGTATTAAACCAGTAATAACAATTTCAGGTATGACAAACAGAAACAAAATAAAGGAAATCACCATGGCAACAGACACCAATACAACATGACAACACTCTGCATGCGTGTTCATTTTACAATTTTGGAAAGAAAAAATCAACTCTTTTAACAGAAAAGAAAGTAGCTACAACATAGGGACCTTGGTAAGGAAGCTGATAGGAGACACCCCATCACTAGGGTGTATGCTACTAGGTGGGGCCCAGAGAAATATCGTAAGCAAGCCAAAGCCATGTGGGAGAAGGGGGATAAGAGGGGAAGGAGGGGGAAGGAGAATTGTATTGGATATTTTGTGGGAGAGTCCAGAGCCTCTTGAATGCTCTGGGATTATCTTTTTCTTTCATTTTCCTTCTGTTATCTTGTAATTTATGCATACCATTTGCTGATATCAGTAATGTTCAATATAATATACAAGTTTCTATCTCAATTCTTGTTCAATCTCTACTCAGATCCTATCAGAAGCTAAGGGCCGATAGATTATATTACTTAGGTTGAGGGGAAAAAGTAAAGAATCAAAGTCAAAAGAACTCTTGCATGAGGAGGTGTGTTAAAGACATAAAACCACTCATAAACCTTCACATATAAGCATAAGCTCTTAGCAGAGTTGGTCCCTCACAATCTGATTCAGAATAATCTGTTACTAAAAGTTTGCAATTCTATAAGGTCAGATAGGGTCGATTAAAATAAATATAATCACGCAGCTGAAAGAACCGAAAATGACATTCCCTTGGGAACATTTTCACAATGACACCATTCTAATACATTTTATCGAGTTAACATATGCAACAATAAAGGTCCCAAGATCTATAATAATATTTCTTTCTGTACCATAAAAAAAGAAGAAATAACTCAAGTTATTAATAGTGAATATAATTCATTAATTGCTAGAAAATAAAAATAATGTATCGAGTTAAAACTCCTTAGAAGGCATTGACTCTCCCATCAAAGGGAACAAATATAAACAAACCTCTTTTGAAAATGATTGATTCATTGCATAATAATCAAAAAAGATTTGCAGTGTTGAGGACTCCTCAAGGGCAGGCTTCCAAGAAGATGGAACCTGTACAACCAATGCCAATTCCGAATTAAGAACTGCAAACTAGAGAAAAGCAAAGAACAACCATCTACTGACTCAGGAATATACCTGAACTGTACCAATCTCATCTGAACTTTCGTCATATGATGTCCCCATAAAATCAAATGATAAGCAACTAAGGGAAAGCATAAGAGACAGTTCCTGCAACTTGCTCCCAACTGCAAGTTTTACAGAAACAAAGCATAGTTACTAAATTCAAAATATGGAATAAGATGGAACTTTAAAAATGATTGTATAGTTCTATCGCTGTCATAACAAACGTTTAATATACCATCAGTTTTTAACTGGAAGAGAGAGGTTAATGATATCTGGAATATCTGGAAAAGTGATTGATCCCTAAAAGAGCTCGCTATCCTCCGTTGACGAGTAGCAGGTAAACCAGGATTGAGCTGAAAATACAAAAGAATACAAACATATAAGTAACAACAACAAAATCATAAGTTCAAAACCAAACTAGTTTTTCATCAGCACATGACAATGCCCCAAAGGATTCAAAAAGCAAAAGGTATCCAAGGAAATAGATTAGAAAAATAAAAAATAAAGTCCAATACCATGGGATAAAGTCCATTCTCCTTTACTGTTAACTTTGCCAAAAATTATGCTCAGAGATAGAAGAACCCAAACCTCAACATTATTAACAATTCTAGATTTCAAAATCTGTAAAGACCTATAAACAATCATTTCATACATAAAAAGTCATATCCTAAGGGGATTCTACCATCTCTTTGCTCCAATTTCTTTGTCAGTATAATAAATAATCCACTCCCATTGTCTTGCGAAGGAATATAAACACCTCAAGAGTCCAATACTAATAGAGTACTATTTGGTGTAAATAAATAGCGGATTAGCTATAAATGAATATGCTCTGACATGACGATAGAAAGAACACTTCTGAAGAAGTAAAGAAAATGTGTCCATAAAGTAACTTAAGCATTGTATTTGAAAGAAGGAATCTGAATAATATTGATTGGTTACACTATTTATAAAGACTAACAAGCCTAATGGGCCAAAGGGAATAAATCCAAAAAACTAATAAAATAAAATACAACAATTTTGATTATTTACAATACTCCCCTTCAAGTTGAGGAATGGATATTTATCATTCCCAACTTGCTAGATAGTTCTTGAAATCTATCGGTAGGAAGCCCTTTAGTCAAGACATCATCTAATTGACAACTAGAAGGAATAAATAGTAATCAATCCGATGTTTAGTTTCATGGGTCCGTCAAATTTCACTTTGAGATCATCTAGAATGATTTTCAGCCATAAAATTCACAAATACCTAGGGCCATGGCTCGAAATTCTACCTCTGCACTTAACCTAGCAACCACATTTTGCTTTTTACTCCTCCCTGTTACTAGGTTTCCATAAATAAGCATACAATAGCCCGAATAGATTGTTAATTAGTCAAAGACCCATATTAATCAGCGTCAGAATAAACTTCTAGAGATAGAGTTGCCCTTCTCCAGAATAACAATCCACTGCCTAAAGTGGACTTAAGGTATTGGATAATCATGCCTACTGTGTGCATGTGTTTTACCCAAGGGTCATGTATAAACTAGCTAACAATACTAACTACATAAGCTAGATCAGGTCTAGAATGAGTTAGATATATCAATCTTCCCACCTGTTGGTTTGTCCATTGTCAATAGAACATCTATCCTTTTCATTCCCCAATTCGTGATTCTGCTCAATAGGAGTACCGGAAGATTTACATCCAAGCTTCCCACTTCGTTAAAAAAGATAAAGGATATACTATCGCTTACAGATAAAAATATCTTCCTTTGAATGGGCTACTTCTATCATAAGAAAATATCTCAACTTCCCAAGATCTTTAACTACGATTTAGCAGTCAATTTCTATTGCAAAGCACATTTCTGAACTATATCATCCCTTGTGATAATAATGTCATCAACATAAGTGACGAGAATAGTAACCTCACCTCCTTGGGAGTGTGATACGACACCAGTACCAAAAGAGTATTATAGGAAACGTTATAGCATATTCCCATCTCTCAATACGTAGTAGAAAATATTTTAGAAGTGGATATGGATAATAAATACAGAGGAATGTGAAGTGTGAGGGCATCTTGAATCTTGGACTTGGATTGGAATTGGGAGAGAGTGAGGCCTCTCCAATTATCTCACATTATCCTTTATTGTTATTTCCTTTATTGTTATTTCCTTTATTGTTAGTGCTTTTTCCAATTCATTGTAATTTCCCTTTTGCTGTAATAGATTCTCTATTTTACTGCCATTTGGGTGTATTGTCTCTTGATTTCCATGAATATATAAAATCTGACTTTTCAAGCCAAATATTTCTCTATAAATTGTTTTTAATTTTGTAATTGACTTGGAGATTCCTATCAAATTGGTATCAGAGCTATCCAATCCGGATAGCTGTGAACCACACCAATCAGGAAAGAAAAAAAAATGAGAAATCAATTTTATAAAATTAAGATTCCTACGTTTTCTGGGTGAGAAGAAGCTTGGGGATGGTTGATTCGAGTTCAGTAATACTTCAAGGCAAAGGGAATTCCGGATACTAAAAAGTCATCGGAAGCTAGAAAGGCGTTCCCCGGTCAAGCTCGAATCTAGTACCGATTCTGGATCTGGCATAACCTAAAAGCTAGTTGGTGGACATTTTTAAAAGCTTTCTTCAAGGAATTTCAGCCTGACGTATGCTTAGAGGATGATGACGGATAAGTCCATGAAATATGACTTAGAACACATGGTTATTGATAAAAAAATGTGAAGAAGAAGAGTACTTTTTGGTTAATATTTAAATTCCAGTGACAATGAGTTGAAAATTCGGTGGTGTAAGAAAATTAATTGATTGTTAGTGTGTTTCAGGTAAAAAGAAGTGGAAGAATGGGCTGTGAGTTCAAAAGAGATAAGCCCAAACTGAAAAAAAAAGAGACACAAGGCAAATGGGCTGATGTTTAAACCAACCAAGCCCAATTCAAAATGAAAAGAGGAAAAGCAAGCTGAGAAGAGAACCGCGAGTAAGTTGTGTCCAAAGCAAAAGTTCAAGTCTTCAGATTTCTACCCACTCTTGACCACGCAAACCCTAAACACTCAGTCACAAAAAAAATACCAAATCGTGACCTAGCTCCCAAAACTTCATCTCACCATCTCAAACAGCCACAACTCCACACAGAACCACCGAACCCATTTCACAGAACCAACCACAAAAACCCCTTTTCTTGTAAGCTGTTCACAAAACTTTATTTCTAGAAGCTTTACCATAACAGAATCGTGACGTGGAGCGCTTGAGGAATGTTGGTGGGACGAGCGCGTGGAAGCTCGTTGAGAAGAGAAGGCGTGAAATCCATGCGTGTGAGACCGAGTATAAAGGAGCGAGAGATTTTTGTGGAGGGGGCTCTCCTCTTCTGTAATTTTCTTTTGCTTCGTCTCTTTTGGTTTACTGTATTTCTTCTTCTTCATTTCAATTTTAGTTTTAATTTTTTGGTACTGTAATGAATTTTTATTTGGACCTAAACCTGTCAGTACAGCACTGAGGATAATCCGGTTATTAGGACTCGTGCTGTATTTTTATTTTTTTGCAAGCTAAGTTTCTGTACGTTTGAATTCGTTTGCTGTTTGTAGTTCAACCCTTATGGGGAGGAGCTATACCTTTCGAGGTTGGGTGTAGGTTACCCGAACCACAGTAATGAATGTTTGTTAATTATTTTTGTTAAACTTTGATTCTCAGTTGTTTAATACTGTGCTTTTAACTAAATATTTTGTCGTTGAGGCCTGATGGTAGATATTATGTTAGGAAGTAGTCATTGAGAGGTGACTAATTCTGGAAATGTGTTAAGCACATGGACTTGAGTGTGAGAACATTCAAGGGCTGTTACTCAGAGATGAGGACAGCCACCATGTAATTTTGAACTTGTAATGTATGAGTCCTAGCTTCCTTTAGCACAGAGATGTGAAAATGAGTGTTGAGGATAAAATGATTTTAAGAGATTAAAATCAACAAGAAGTGATCCGTTAACTGGGAATTGAATTTTAATAAACTTTAATTGACCGTCATTTTATTGCTGTTGGGGAAGGTAACCGAAGCTCAACCTGTTTTTACAACCTATTTTTCACCAACTCAGATTTCTTGCCCTTTGATTTTTAATATTTCAATCATAGTTCTGTTTACAATTTCTCTATAAAAAAAAACTTTTTACATCAGATACCCAAACTGTTTTTCCTTCCATTTTTCACCCTTTAGTTCAAGAAATCAATTCTGAAAATACTAAAAAAATAGAGTCACTAGTCAGTAATATTTTAAATCAGTCTTGTGATTACTTTGTTTTTATTTTTACTCACTTTTTAGATTAAACTCAGTTTTAGCTATTGCAATTTTTAGTCAAGTTAAAAAAAGGCCAAAGATCCTTGTGAGAACGATATTAAGGTCTCAAATACGCCCTATATTACTTGTTGTCAGGTATACTTGCGCGTATACTTGCATAACTGTTAGCAAGGCAACAATGACGCCGGATCAGAGTATGAACAAATTAAAACAACTATGACTTCAGAGGCAGAGACGAGGAGTCCAAATTTAGAAAAGAAGATGAAAATAAATTGGGTAGAAGAGAAGAAAACAGAGACTGCGGAAGACAAAGTTGGAACGAAGAAGCCACAATCATCGAAGGTGGTGGCTAAACCACCATCACCCATGGATCCACCACATGCAGCCTTTCATGGCAAGGAGTTAAGTCGAAAATATGCAAAGAAGCGGCCGCCAAAATGTCTTGCAATAGAGAACGAGAAAAATAAAGATACAAACGTTATGTCAATGATGGAGCTGGAAAAAATTTTAGACTCAATGGCAACATGTGATGATGTGCGTAATAGCGACGCCATCAAGGGGAAGACAAAGCTGCATAGCAAAAAGCGGAGGAAAAAGAGGCGAGAATGGGTCATGACGATTCAACAGTAATGGTGGTTTCCCAAACGACAGAAGCAACCATCTTGGTTAGGGAATGAATCACACCAATTGAGCAATGTTACTGAAGCGACCCGAATTGTTACCAAACTGGCTAGTCATGTTTCTGTTTGGGTTTTACTAGAGGAATGAGCTTATAGGCCCAGGGTGCTGAGTGACTTAGTGAGACCCATATCTCAATATATTTCCCATCAAAGGTTAGTAAAATTGCTTGGCTTACAACGTCATTCATTGAGAGTTTCCTCCGAAGACCCAACACCTCATCATGCCCCAGTCTAGCACAGCTAATCGTCACTTGCCCTTTCATTCAAGATACCTCGGACCTGATGGAGAAGAGACACAATAGGTTACCTCTTCGGATTACCCCCAAGTTCTCGCTCCTCATGGTTGATGCATCGTGATTTGAAGATAGGATCGGATGATTGAAATTGATATAACATGTTCC